TTTGTACGTTAATATGATTAATTGGACTTTTTTCTATATACTTTTAACCTTTTTTTTGTAGGTTACAATTATTAAATGTTTTGATATCCTGCAACTAGAAAGCCTCCATACAACCAACAATATCAAGAGGTGTTTAGGTTTTAACAACATTTTGAGAGAGATTTCCCATGGATCTAAATAGCACCGTTCCCCACGGTCATGATCAGCTAGCAAAAGTAAGTATGACATAAAACATACAAAAATTATTTTGTTTGTTTGTAGATTGGTAAGGTAACTTAACAATTTTCAATCATCAATGCAATACTTCACTTTTTTTTTTTTTGGGCAGTCCCTCATAATACTGCATTAATAGTAACCCATGTTTACAGACCGCCAAAAAAAACTAATATTTAGTTCAATTAAACTAAAACATTGATACTGACCAATATACCCTTACATTTCAAGAAAAAGAAAGTTAACAATAGTAATGAATTTTTTTACAGGATACGACTCAAGAAGGAAAAAAATGGGTAAATAGGTAAACAATTAGGAAAAATTACAATTTGGAAATAAATTTCTATTTAATATGAAAAGTAAATATTTATGTTCTTGTAACAAAGCTACAGGGAAGGTGATTCTAGAATCAGTGATTCTAAGTTCCAACAACTATATACCTACAAGCCCTTATTATTGAGAATTAAAATCAACTTAAATCTAAACCTTCAAACAAATAGAATTACTTTATTTTTTTCCCACTTCATAATTATGATTTTCAAATGGTATTTTCAGACAATTTGTCACGAGACACCAGGCTCAGGTAGGGCCCATATGGATGCTGCAGCTTTCAACCAAGTATTGTTGAAATGGCTAACATCTCCTACGTTTTGGTGAGGTTAGTTACTTAATTGGTAAATGAAAATTTCAACATTTCACTTTACACATATTAAATTAATATAATGATGATCTCTTACTTAGAAAATGATTCAATTTCGTTTTATTTTAACTTTTTTTAGGTGATGAAGGTGATGAATACTTCCTTTGCTAAAGAAAGACCATACAACAACATCCAAAGGGTTTCATGGGAAAAAAATGGTATTTCTTGTGTGTTGGGAACGCCGATCTGGGGCAACTGACTTAGCTCCTTCATACCCCCAAAACATGATTTACTTTCGACCAAACTGTATGCTGTTGAAATTTGAAAGCAATTTTTATCATACACATAAACTGTTCGACAAAATGCTTGAACCAGGTTTATGGATTTTCTTTCCAAAGTAGCTTTTCACATTTATTGTAGACTAACTGATTGAAAAATATATATCAACAATCATATTGTTTGCTTGAATAGTAATTTATTCTAAAATTTGCATGATGACATCATTAAGCCTTATTCATAATGATTGACATGCCATCAGGATTACTTGAAAGAGGCTTCCTCTTAATAGGAAATTTCTTTAGCCATCTACAAGTATGATCAGTATATTTCATAACATTCCACGTAACATTAAAGTTTTTTGGAAAAATATTACCGTTTCAGTTAATACTCTTTTATCAGGTAGTGTTGGCTATCGCCATCAGAGGTAAACATATATTTTCCTCACTTTACCTTGCTAGAGAACAAGGCGCGGAGGGCAATATTGTAATTTCCTTCGGGGAAGTATTGATCAAATATCTTAAATACATGTTATTTATGTTAAAAAGAAAACTAAATCTTTTGTTTTTATTTATCCGATCCACGTGACTAAGCAGTTAGCAATGTTAGAAGCTCCTGAACTCCAATTCACAAACTTGTCGGTTGTCATAACAACTACTACTGCCCAAATGGTAAAAAAAATACTTTTTTTTGTTTTTATTTATCTCTTAATAAGCCTATATATTCATAACTAATAACAGATATAAAAATATTCAGTTTTTGTGTTTGATGGATTTCATTATTTCCATGGGAGGATAGAAAGAATTAAATTTCATGATATAAAAATATTCAGTTTTTGTGTTTGATGGATTTCATTATTTCCATGGGAGGATAGAAAGAATTAAATTTCATCCTGCCTTTTCATTGAAAGACCAAAATACTCTTACTATATACATATTGAAACAAATAAGAGACAAATAACCACTTATACTTTATTTTTACGGATCAAGCCATAAAAGTATCACATATTTTTCTTGTTTAACCCGTTTTGACTTTTTGACATAATATCGCACATAACAATGGCCAGAATGGTTTAATTTGAAAATTACTTTAAAAGTTGATATAACAAGTCAACGAGAGTAAACTATGTTGCTACTATTTGCAATTTACCTTATTAACATTTAAATTTCAAAAAATGTCATTTTCTATTGTAAGTGTAAGTTTGTATTCTTGACAAATATAATGACAGAATTGAACTATTTTTCAAAATTCAATTCATATTTTTTGTTTTTATGTAAATATCTATAAGTGAATGTTTACTTACTTCAACCAACTTTCATGTAAGATATAATCATGTCTTATTTTTTCTTGAAAGTTTATAGAAATTTGAAAAATATATGAACTTCGTGAGGCTGCATTTTAAATTTTGATGATTTATTTGAAAAATGTTTTTTAATTGCGGTTTTTATCTATGTTTTATGAGCAGGCTCGGAAACAAATCTGATGTATTTTCAATTTTTTTTTTATCAATACAAGGTTTGTCAGTTGTTGGCTAATGTTTTGACTTTTATTAGAGGAGGTTTTTGCTGACAAGAAAAAAAAAAAAAAAAAAACAAACACAGCGCCAACGGCGCGTATGATTCACCTCTAGTTATTATATTGAGTAAATTAAATGAATTGTACGAAAGGTATCCCATAATTTTTTCTATTTAAATAATAATCTTTTTAAATAAGACAAGAATCAAATGCGTAGGAACTTTTTGAGTTAAAAAAATATGGACCAAGCACATGATAAAAAATATGGACCAAGCACATGATAAAAACAAACAGTAGGAACTTTTTGAGTTAAAAAAATAAGTTATGGACCAAGTACGCAAATTACCTCAAACCATAGGACCATTCATGTAATTTACTCAATTATATTTAAATAAAACTTTAATATAAAATATTGTCATAAACATGCATATCCTTAGAAGCAAATTTATTAGAAGCTTTGAACTAAAGAGTTATTGTGATTATAAGTATGTAAAGTTGAATAGTCACAATATTAACGATTGTTATATGTAAAGTTGAATAGTCACAATATTAACGAATGTTAACAAATTCTTATTTTATGGGCAAAACCAAATCAGGAAAAGAGAGAGACCTCACCTAAAATTTCTACTCTGAATGTTTGACTTTTGCAATTTCATCTTAAGTTATGATCATAATATTGAAATGACAAAAATATGTCCCTGAAGTAAAGCTGTGATCTGAACATGATTTCAATTAAATCGGCGACAACAGGCAAAAAAATCAATAAAATTATACTACAAATCAAATAATAGTCTAAGATATGAAAGCAGTAATGTACTTAATAAAGTTCAACGACTTTTAGATCCAAAATAAAGTCCAAAAGATAAATCGTTTCTTATTAAAAAGTAATTTTTTTTGTTGTAGTTTTCTTCAAAAAAAATTGATATTTAATAATGTATACCGACAAATAATGTTTTACATGAACGATATGAGAATAATTAACGAAGAGACCCGCAAAAGTCAAAAAACAAAGCATAAAAAACAATAATGTTAATTGATAAGTTCCATAAAATTGAACTACAAGTAGTTTTTTAAGAAATAAAATTTCAAAAAAATGTAAACACACATTTCATATTTTATTCAAGTCAACTCTTTTGTGTACAATTCAGTGATTCACATACAACTCATGCAAATTTCAACTCGTCACATTGTTTGCGTCGATTTAAATGTTCGTTGTAGTTGGTACAACCAATGGCATGTTAAATATGAGCTAAACACCAAACATGCTTGTTTCCACCAATAACATTTAATTTATGAATGTCTTTCCGAAAGAGTTAAACGACATATATGACTATATGATATATATAGCAATTAACAACAATTGTTGAATTCATTATTATTGGCTTGAAACACTTTATTAAGACCAATTAACCGGTGTTTTTTATGCGACAATCAAGTTGTAATGAATTATAATGGAACAAAAAATCGTGTTTCTTTGAATATAATTAATAAGAACGATATTAAGTATTTATTGTTTTGCATTTTCTATTGTAATAAATAAAACGATATATTATTACAAAAGACCTTGATTTATATGATTTTCAACAAACTTTTTTTTTATCGGATTTCGAAATTATAACTAATTTATATTTTTGTTGGGTTCTAAAAGTATTTAAAAATATTTTTATTATAATTTTATTTTGAGCCTTTATGATATTTAATTATTTTGTTTTTGTACAAAAAAAGTAATAAACATATTCTCTTTTGACTTTTTTAAACGGGCACACAATATACTTCTGCATGTAACTTATCAAGCAAAATATTTTAATTGGATTAAAATTTACTTTGTAGAATAATGTCTTTGACATAAATAACTGACTCATTTTATATTTTTAAACCAACCAAACATAATAACAAAATACAATAAGTTAATAATCTATTTCTATTATTTTAGATCCTTTTACATTTTGTATTTTAGTTTTGTATGATTTTATTTATTATAAATTATATATAAAACAGATTACTAAAAATAACACCAAGCGAGTTTAAATATGCCAATTATGAACGGATCAAGATTTAGATACAGCATCATATACAAGGTCAACTCAAGAAGTCAAGTAAATACCCCATAAATTGTCGGGGGTATTTAATATTTATCGGTGCCCATTTGTCAAATTCTTGAATATCTTTTAGTAACATTATTCTGATTCTGACTAATTAATAAAAATAAACGAAAGCTGAAGTAGTTTTCCTTTCAATCTACCCATATAAATATCCCAAAATATTACATTTTTAAGCTAACACAAACAATAAAACAAACCTTTTTAATAGAAAAAATAAAATGTGTACACAAAATATCTTGAACATGCTTTCATGCCTACAATTTTCCTCCATCTAAATCCACCGATTCTTTTCGACGACTCCTATTTTTCAATAATCCATATAATTTTTTAAGTTCCTTTCCTGTATGACCATTTTCCATACAAAATATACCCGTTTCACTCGACTCCTCAGCGGTTCTTGTTGAACCAGTGGAAACCAATCTTGAAGGCAAATCCACTAACCCATCAATAGAACCGCTATGGCTCAAATTCCGTTGAGCTCCGGCTGACCCGGTAACTGAACCGTTTTGACTTAATTTATGAGATAGTCTGAATTTCCCACTTAATCTGCTATCATGGTTTGTTTGTAAAGCATTGATAACCGTTTTAAGAGCTCTTGTGGGTGACCCCCGGTTCGATATCATGATCTCACCGATCTCAGCCGGACTCAAGCTCGCCCCGGTTTGGAAAATTTCCTCAACTTGTGGGAAAAGCTTGTGTTCTTTAATCCCTAAATGACTATTGGCAAGATTTTTGAATGAAGAGAAATCACATAAGGGGAAGTGTATGTGAACGTCTATTCTCCCAGGCCTTAGAACCGTTGGATCGATCTGATCTTTACTGCTGACCGTGAAAACCATTACGCGCTCTTCACCACAACATGAGACGATCCCATCCATGAAATTTAAAATTCCAGATAAACTCACAGCCGTTGATTTCTCCACCAGATACCGGTCCAAATCCTCTACCACAATCATAGACTTGCTTGTCGTCTGTAACAAAAGCAGTTTCAGATCCGAATCGCCGGTGATCTTCGACATATCCACGTCATACACGTCATAACACAGAAACTTTGCCATTCCAGCGATAAAGCTTGATTTTCCGGTTCCCGATGGGCCGTAGAGTAGATAACTTCGTTTCCAGACACGGCCGAGACGGTGATAATATTGCTTCGATTTCAAAAACACTTCCAAATCAGACTTAACCTTGTTCTTGAACTCGGAATCGATCATTCCGGTGTCGATCGTTGCCGGATGTGTAAACGGAATCGATTTCCATCTCCCGTTCTTCTCCGGTTCGTTTTCGGCGTTGATGTACAGTCTGACTTCGTTACTCTTCTGCTCGATCTCATCCGCGACTTTATGAATGTGTTGAAGGTACGTACTTAAAATCCTCCGTTTCTCCTTCCTTCGTATCTTCAACACGAAACAATCCTTTTCGAACTTCCAATAGACTCGGGATCCGAGAAACGAATCGGGGAAGACCTGGTCGGCGTTAATAACGAGGGTAATCTCGTTTGCCTTGTTATTCCCGGAAAACAGATTGACGAAATCGGAATCACCGGCGGAAGGTAAGGAATTAAGATAGAGTAAAACTTTGTGATGAAGTTGATTCTCCTGCATATATTGATTGAATTTAGGAATCTTGTAGAACTGGTGCGCATGAAAACACTCCTCCAAAAACCGCCATCGATTTTGCAGGAAGTGTCCGATGGAGGTCCTCGATAATATTCGAGGAACCAACAAAAAACCAACGACCAGAGCTAGCAAAAGTATGAGAAACATGATGATGTATGATAATGAAATTAAACCCACATGAACTAATATGAAGGAGGGTTATAAAGACGAGGAGGATGACGTTTGAAGGCTTAGAAAGACGGCTATGCCGGACTAAGAACGGGTCAAAAGGTGGGTCGGATCAAAGATGGGGTTTCGTTTGGGAAACGAAAATACTTAATTGGAAAAAGGAAAAGAAAATGAAAATAATGTAAGCGTGTGGTAGCTACTCGCCTAATGATGATAATCATGTGCGTATGGCTGTCATACCAATTAGTTGAAAGGGGGGTGTGGCCTGTGAAGGCGTATTTTCAGGGTACAACTCATGATGCACTGTATTTGTATTTAATTGCATGTCCAGTACTCATAATTATACCTCCATCTGCCTTCCTCCTCTTTTTTCCAAATATGATAGGGTACTAACATAAGAATAAGAATAAGAACTCTTTAATAATCGCCGGATGATAAAGATTAACAATTACAAAATATTTTGTAATAGAGTCAAAACTGATTGTAATTTTTGAATTACTTTACGTAGTAGGTAAGGGAATCATTGGGAGTTATGGATTCCTTTTCAATCAAACGCTTCTATCCATACTTGCAACCCCGAAAATCATTCCCCCATCATCTCCTTTCAAAACCGAATCCGAATCGATCCCCTTTATGGATTTATAGATGCCTCATTTTTCTATGCAAATATTTATCATACACAAAAAACAATTAGTAATTATGTTTCTCTCCAAACTGATAGATTGTATAATTTTTTTCATCAATAAAATGAAAATGGATGCTTAACAAAATGTTAAAAGTTTTTTTCTTTTCTACTATCTTTACGTTTCTTTATAATCTTCTGCTCGTCCGGTGTTTTTTTTTTTTTTTGGTTATACTCACAAATTCATATTGATAACATGACAATCACAATAAAATGAGTGCTTGGCTTGTTGATTAGACTTCGTGACTTTGTCGGATCATTCAGATTCTTGGAAATGGAATTTAGGTAACTCAACTGATTTCACGGATAACTCCGCAAGAGAACATATAGAAGATGTTACAATGGAGTTAAGTGCTGTTATGACTAGATGGTCTAATTATATCCCGAGGAACCTTAATGTATTTACTTGGCTAGTTTTGTTTATTCGGATTCGCACTAGACTTAATCTGGTAAGTAAAGGTATTGATATTCCGTCCATTTTGTATCTGATTTGTGCAATTTTCATGGAGGAAGTAGATCACGTGTTTGCGGTCTGTGAAGTGATGTCCCAAATTTGGGCTCTCATTTCCATTTGGTGTGATGCCATCCATCCCCCACCCACACACACTTTTATATTGTCTGTATAAAAACGCGGTGATTGAAACGATTACTTTGACGATGTGGTGGACTGTATAGAATTATCATAATGCCTTGGCGTTTGCCTCAAAGAACACAAACAACTATAAATATCTTTTGCTTGAATTTTCTCTTGAACGAATGTTGAAGGAGGACAACAACCTAAGGTACAAAAGGTGTTTTGTGAAAAGCAAGCAGCTACCCGAACTTCAATGATTGAAGGACATCTGAGAAAAAAGTTTTATGTTTGCCATAATACGATGCTAAGTTTTTACTTTCCTTTCCATTCTACACACTCTGATTTTCAACGGAGGTCAAAATGCAATTATTTTAATTGGGTTGATGAAAGAAATGAGAAAGAATATCATCAAAGAGATGCCGTATTTAGAATTGAAGAAATGATGGAAGGGATGGGAAAGGAAATTGAAAGTTGCAATAAGATGAGGGGGTTGATGGTGAAACAGATGAACTCTATTCTTGAAATATACAAGTAAACATGTCTACAAAATTCCTTAAATAATAATCTCAAGAATTCAAAGAAGTCATTGTACTCCATTAAACCAAAATTAACATCATTTATTGTAATGATCGTAGGATCATTGATATTTCATTGGGTTAATGAAGAAACACCCTAAGTAATGTACATTGATTGTACTCAACCCATCTATCCTTAATTGATTCGAAGACTTCAGTGCGTTTGTTGTAAGGATTTTAAAATTAGGGTTAAAATATTGCCGTAGAGAGAATTCAAAAGCATGTATGTTGTTTGGGGTTCGATGGGTAGTTACTTAGTTAGGGTTTGTAATTATTCAATCAAACGTTGTTAAGGGGTTAAAGGTGAAGGTTGAGGGGTTACCAACTTGACCTTGAATTATAGTTAAAAAAAAAATAACAAAAGTTAGTGTGTTACCTTCTTAAAAAATAAAATCCATTTGTTGTAACGTTTAAGATATGTTGAAATGTTTATTTCTCAGTGACAACCCTGAAATATTATGAGTTAATGGGCCCAGCCCATGTGAATTTGCAGCCCACTTAAGAAAATCGCAACCCATTAAATCTCACTTGCGATTTCAATTACTATTAGAGTTGTTTCTTAATTTGTGGCTTTTTTTGAAAAAAAAAAGTTTATATGATTAAATGAAAATTTTCTGTTTCTTTATTAATGTAGTTTGAATAGTATGATTTTCTATTAGAATTTGCATTCAGTGAATGATGATGACCATCCCTTCAAATAAGTAGGCCACGAATGATCCAGAACCCAGCTAAGCCAGACCCATCAAATTAAGAAAGTAATTAAATAACCAGTTCCTACTAATTAACTACTAATTCGTTGGATATTTGGCCAGAATTTCAAACACCTATGAAATCAATACCTTTGAAATCAACATGGAAAAAGTAATAATATATGATGATATTTTCAAAAGTTGGCCAAAAGGTAGGCCGTTTATCAAAAAGAGAAATGATAAAAAAATAACTCGGTGTGTTGTATTGTCTATTCAAAGAGAGCAAAATGGAATTAAATAATTATAATACTCTTATTATGCTAACTAAAAAGTAATGATGATGTTAATGATAGTATGGTGATGGTAGGGTTTGGGCTTGGTATCATTTTGGTTTTCAAGGTTAGTCGAATATTAGAGATAAAATAAGCTGATATGGTTCGTGTAACTATCTATTTTTGAGTAAAGTTTATATAAGATCGGAGGGATACGTGTCATTTCTTACCATATTTTTTTCATTGTTTTTATCATAAAAATGTGTTTTTTTTTTTCACATACTAGGAGTGCTACCATACTTTTTAATAATTAATTTTAAATAAAAATTTCATTTTTAATAAAAAAAACATAACATTTCATTACTTAAAAAAAATTACATTGCATTAATTGAAAAAAAAAAACATAACATGACATTAAAAAAAAATCTTAAACACTTCGATTTAAAAAAAAAAAAAAAACTAGAAATCATAAACCTACAAACTTTAAAGAAACACACACACACACGCACATCAAACGATTAAAAGTAGCTAAAAATTTAAACCTACTTAGCATAATGTTTTTTGACGTCGGCTTTCATTGCTATAACAACTTCAAGCTCTTCTCTGGTGATGTCTGATGTGTTCATCATTAGTATTTTCATGTCACTATCTCTTTATTTTTGAAGCTCCCTTTTGGAGACAGTTTGCAAAATTTTGTTCATTCTTTCTTTTATATCTTTCATATCGTCCCCGATTTCTTTGAAGTCATTCAAATGTGATGCTTTGTCTTTTCCTTTGCTTTTTTGCTTTTTTTCCTTCCCATTGGTCGGGAATGTGGTGAAACTTGAACGAGTTCATCCTCGTTGAGGTCGAAACCAACACGATCGTTTTGAACAACTATCGATATGTTCGTCAGATGATTTGCACACTTGCCATCTTTTGTTATCTTTCACGAGATTCTAAAAGTCAATAAACTTGAAAGCCTTCTTGTTTTCCTTTTGGTATACTTTTAGAGCTTTCTTCTAAATTACTTCATCACTTTCTCTGCTTTTCCATTTATGTGTTGTTATACAACTCATTATACAACATGACTACAATACTTAGGAAGCTTCATTCCATTGTGGAACCTTTTTGTAACCCGCATCCAAAAATGATCATGTTTTTGGTCTTTTCCTGTCGTCGCATCTTCTGAAATATCGATCCATGATTATGCCAATACAAACACTTATTCGGGATCCCATCCTTTAGCCACTGCCTTCTTTTTTCTTTTATTTGGTGCTCGAGTGGGTTGAGTTTCTTAAACGAATTCAGGTTCGGAATCAGAAATGGGTGTGTGTGGTTGTGATTGTGTTTGTTGAACAAATTCGGGTTGAGACAAAAATTCAAACATATTAAAATTCGGGTTGGTTATGGTTTGTGGTTATGATTGTGTTTATGTTTGTGTTGATCGTTGTGGTCCCTACCTCCCCTCACATCCAATCAGGTTTTTTTGTCTGCTTCAATTAAGAGTTTAACCACAATAGTTTGTAAGAATTGACAACTTTAGTCCCTACCCCCCCCCCCCCCCACATCCAATCAGGTTGTTACATTTGCTTCAGTTGGTCACTTATACCCTTCTTCTAAACCTTCCCGATCCTTCCACCACCGCTTCCTTTTTTCTATCCCAAATAGAGTCATTCTCCAATTCTCGTTAGATATCTTTGCCCTACTCTGCCGGTTATCTCAAACGACCTTTGATTTTGCATCTCCCTTGCCATTCAGAAGTTATAGTTTATATGGAATGGGAAGAAGAAGAAGAAGAAGAAGAAGCAATCAAAGGTAAATTCCTGCTAGGGTTTAAATATGTCGAAACTGGCAATGGCGATTTGAGGTTCAATTTTGATCTTTCTTGAAACAATTTTGTAAGACTCCGCTTCAATTTTGTTTTCCTTTCTTCGTCAAATTCATTGTTATGTTTTACATTTTATCAGGTCTGTTAACTTCATGATTTTTAGGGAAGAATGATAAAAGTGGGTAAATTTCTTCTATATTAAACTTGATTACACATGTATAATATATAGAGAAACAGAGGAAGGGTATTTTAGGAAGCTAACGACTATTTACACAAGTAAATTACAATATCCCTTAAATTTGGGATACTTCTTCAATCACAACTGGAAATTAAGAGACTCACATCCATACTCCCCCTCAAGTTAGTGTGTGGATGTCTCTAACACCTAGCTTGTCAAGTGAGTCATTGAAATTTTTACTGGAGACTGCCTTTGTGAGAATGTTGGCTAACTGATCCTTTGATTATCGAATGGAAACCGAATGACTTTCTCTTCTAGATTTTGTTTGATGAAATATCGGTCTATTTCCACATGTTTGGTACGATCGTGTTGAATTGGGTTGTGAGCTATTTCGATGGAAGCCTTGTTATCACAAAATAAATTCATTTATGAGTTTGGAGGGAAACCAATCTCAGTTAGGAGCCTTTTAAGCCAAAGAAGTTCACAGAGCCCTTTTGCCGTACCCTGAAACTTAACTTCAGTACTAGACAATGCTACCACCTTTTGTTTCTTACTTCTCCACACAACCAAATTACCCCCCACAAATGTAAAGTAGCCTGCGGTCGATTTTCTATCCAAAATATTCGTTCCCCTGTCAGAATCAGTGTATCCTTCAATATTTAGGTGGCCATGCTTTGAAAACATAATTCTT